GCAGGGTATTATGTAGAGAAAGAGCTGTGATATTTCCACAGGCTTTGACGGCATAATGGGCCCCTCTCAATCCCTACATGGAAGGGTTAGATTGTCATGGCTGCTCAGGCAGTATTCAAAACGTTATCTGATCAGCCTTAAAGACTTCAGAACGAGACAGATGATTAGTTACCCTAAACGATCCTCATCATGCAGAAATTGATGATTTAATATAGTCAATGACAGACGATTCCATTTGTACTAGATAAAGTGTCTGCGGTTTGTATCAATCATAATAGAGTTATTATTGGGCATAAAAGAAAAGCATGTTTAATATCATTAATTCCAGATATGTCGCTTTGCACATCTGGCATTCATCCATAGAGCAGAACCACTCCAGGCGATCATTCCTGCCTGCGCGCAGGCAACTCCAGTGTTTTTTTGTAATTTCAAAATGTTTTTCAGCACCTCCAGCTAGGTGCAATAACAGTTTACAGATTACCTATGTCATCACATTTTGACAAACTTCTCAATCTGATGTGACCTTCATCTTTAGCCATCTGCTTGCCTTTGTGTCTGCTTCTTCTTTTCTTTTCTATTCTTTTCTTTGTTTTCTTTTTAAAATAAACCTCTGGGGCTTAAAGCTGTAGTAGTTTGTTCCATATTCTTCTAGGTCAACATTTTCACCTGTGTAAATCCAAAAACATAGGCTATAGTTTAAAAAAAGCAACCTGGATTCAAGGCTCAGAACGATTGGCATTAAGACGACCTCTTTGTTGTATGTTTTTCATCACTTTTTAAAAATGCATTGATATGAGCTTTTTAAAAAAACAAGGAAGAAAAGATTCATCAGAAAATGAACTCTTTCCCTTCACTGGATTTGTCCCACCTAAACATTCCCAGAGAAGGCAGGGAAGCACCTAACATCTTTGAACAAGTATTAAGGAAAAGTACAAAAGGGCTTCTGTGCCTTTTGTAATATCTAAGGCAATGCAATCATTACTAATATTTGTAATTCATATTTCTAGCTCTTGGGTTTTCCTGAATGGCAAACCCACTTGATAGATTACAACACTAACATAAAATTGCAATGTAAACACTTCAATGTCAAGAATATGCAAAATAATGACCAAGAATTGTCAGAAAGGCAAGGATTTCCCCATGATTGAAAAACTGCAAGAAACCTGAAGAACCATGGATTGCCAATGGGTTACATACTGCCTGATTGTGGGACAATGTGGTAAAATACATTTTTGACTTTTAAGTCCTGCATCTATCCCATGGGCAAATTGCTGTGCAATAATCTCCCAGTCATCCCACAACAAAGAAAAAGAGACCCCCATCCAGCTCTACCTCCAGGCAACTGGTTATGTGTTACTGGTGGTCATAGATGTAGTTGGGGGCCTACACAACTCATCCAAAGTGAGAGAAGTGTCAAATCTCATTATTACAGTCTGGATGCGTGGTGGATTGTCATGGGTTTCCAATCACTTAATAACAGCAACAGCAAACATCCTTCCCCCCTCCAAATTAGGGTACAGAAATAGTAGGAAATAGGGGTAGGTTTGTGTATGTGAGGCTTTATCTGTGCATTTCAACTCTACCATAGAAACATATCGATGGGCCAAGCATACACACAGAATATACTGTTCTAAGATCCTTTTTGAGCTGGTATTTTACACCTGGCACCAGTTGGTAGGTCCCAAGGTGGATAAAAGTGGACTCTGCTAGGCTCGAGTTGGTCTGGCAGCACCTGATCTGTGGACTGCCTGAGGTCCCAACCTGCTTTTATGGCTTCCAGAATACCTCTCTTCAAAAACATTACAGAGGGGAAATGGAGACTCCCTCTCTTCAGAATGACAAGGAAGTGTAATATACCCCTTAATCATTTTGTGTGTGTCCCCACACCTTCTAAAAGTGTGGCGTGTAGGGTTCTGGAAATAAAAGTGGACTTTGGGGCACCCCTGGTTTTGCCAGAAGGGGGCGAAATGCTCATGTTGACTCTGGGAAGGGGAAATTTGCCCACTCCAGCCCTCTGAAGTTACCCACGCTGCCCTAAATTCTGCCCCTCCCTCTTCTAGATAGCAATGAACCAACCAAGATAACATCCCTGAAAAATGAATTTCAAGGATCAGGTGCTATTACTAACATTTTCCAGCCCTTTCAGTTCAGTTATTGCTCTGTGGTCTCATTCTGTTACAAGCGCCATTCCTTCTGACTTTTCTTTTAATCTCTGAACATTCCTAGAACATCTACAAGTACATTCTGGAAGTGGAAGATATGCAACTCCTTTCAGTTCTTTAGTCTCCCTCATCTAGTGCTTTCCAGGCATGCTGGGTGACAACTCTCAGCCTCCCTAACCAGCATGGCAGATGACTTGGACCATGGGAAATGTAGCCCATATGGAGAGCAATTTTTTTTTTGCACTTTAACAAAGCATTGCTGATGTAATCAAAGTCGAATTGCACCAATAATGTTGTTTTATACACCTTTTTGATAGATCTGTGCATAAGTCATGCTAACATTTATTTTATTTTATTTATCTTGGATTTTTTCTCAAAGCACCTGTGCATCAATGGTAATTGTTGCTGTAGTTCTCAGGGCTTTCTAATCTATCCACATGTTGTTTCTGTTTTCTCAGATTATTTTCTAGCAATTCTTGGCACCTACTGTAACATGTAATTCCTATCTTTGAGTGGGTTTTTTAAAATTCTGAGATATGTTAGAACCAAAAGGTCTCCTTCTCCTCTCCTTTTTTAATTTTTTATCTTAGTGTTATAGTGCTACAGTGTATCAGTGAAATGGCACTTTTGCACTTTAACCCTAATAATTTTTTAAAAACAATTTGAAAGGAGAAGATTTGCTCTTCAAATTATAGGATCACCTCACCAAACTATGGCCTGTTGAAAAGAGAGAGAAAAAAATCACGAGTCCTAATGCAGATCTAAGAAATTATTACATGTAGTCCCCAGAAGAATTAAATGAGTGGACACAGAGGCAACACCAGGGGACAACAGTCAACAAACCCCAGTGAGCTGCATCAGAGAAACCTCACACATCTTAAAACTAATCTGGAATAGCACAATAATTCACTATATAAAAAGCATCTTGATGTTCTTATGCAGATCAGGACCATGTATTTGGTTTGTGCTAATGTTTGGTTTTGCTAATGTTAATCAATATACATCTGTCCACTGGTAACAAGATGGGATGAAAAGAGACAAATAAAATGAGAGAACCTAAATGTCCAGCAAACTATTCCTGAAGAGTGCTCTGTTAAAATGTTCACTTATTTTGCCAATATCAAACTTGATTTTTTAAAATGTACTGTGTCACATCACAGCCAGTGCTGCTATTGATTTGAATCTTTAATAGGGGCCTAAATTGTGGCCACACTGTTATAGAAGGTCCCACATATTCCATGTAATGGGCTTGGGCAGTTGCATCGGAGCTTGTAGATATGGTTCCAAACAAGTTGGCTGCCACTTCAAACTCAGGATAGTTTAGTGATGTTGGTGGCATTATTTATTATGTTTGAAGGGAGAGTGGAAAAGCAAAATAACATTTCAGGGACAAAGCTGTTAACACTGGATGTCAGCTGAGCATTGCAGCATCTCCTGTATTGGGAAGATTATTTTAAAGTTCAAGTCAACCATTACTCCTCCACTCCCACCATCTCTCCTCCATCTGAAAGGGCAACAAAACTAAAATCATGTACATAAATACTACTATACCTAAAGGATAAACAGTCAGTGTTACATGGAGACTTCCATTGACTATTTCTCAATCATTTGAGGCAGATGACATTCAAATAAGTTTGGGTTTTGCATTTTCATTACCTGTTCCTTTGTTTTGTTTTATTTTCCTCAGTCAGCTGCTTCCTCATTGACAGGGGAAAAGACCAAGAAAGTGGGGACTGGGGGGAGGGGGTCATGGCAGGATCCAACGCGTAGCACTGTAACTACAGTACTTACACATTTATAAATCCCATACATCAGTGGTTCTCGAACTGGGACAAAACCCTAACATGAGGGCACAATAGTTGCTCAAGGGACGCACAATGCATTTTTGGGTCTGTTGGGGGTAAGCAGGAAGAGTGGCACTCATTCACAGTGCACATACACACCTGCAAATACAAATATAACACAAGAAAAAAGTTTTTGACAGGAAGAGATGCTGCCACCAGGACACACCAGAAAGAGCTGACAAGGAGGAAGAGGGGTTCACAGCGGACAAAAAACATGAGATAGAGCAGAGAGAAAAATGACAACAGCCAGCATACTGGCTCTGGTGACTCAGGGGGCTGAACAATAGCAGCAGCATCAACAAACAGCAAGAGCAACCCAAGCAAGGGACCAACATATGTAGACACCACAAAGTTGAGGCAGGAGCACCTGCACAGGATCTTGCATTATCTCCAAGGCACTGCTTCTCCTCACATTCTCCCTCTCACTGGGTGTGAGTCTGGCTGCTCCTTGGATGGAGTGTGCAGCTGCACTGCTTCTTGCAGCCTGCCTGAGTTTGTTGTTGTGTGCCTTCAAGTCATTTCTGACTTATGGCAACCCTAAAGCAAACCTATCATGGGGTTTTCTTGACCTGTTTCTTCATAGTGAGTTTGCCATGACTATCCTCAGAGTCTGAGAGCATATGTCTTGCACAAGTTCAGCCCGTGAGTTTCTATGGCTGGAATTTGAACCCTGGTCTCCAGAGCCATAGTCCAGCACTCAAACAACTATAGCATACAGGGGCTGCTTCACTTTTTAATGCTTAAAAAACCTTTTGCTTTTTAAATCATAGGAGTGAGGCTTGGAAGGTCAGATTGACTTTGGGCACTGGGGAGTGGGGTGATGCCAGCAGCATGCATGCAAGCACAATTTTTTTTTTAAAAAAAATGTAAATTTGAGTCTACATACATGAGAGAGTGAGAGAGTGGCAGGTACACACCCCATCCAAGGAGCAGCCAAACCCACACCCAAATAGAGGAAGAAGTGAGGCATGTCTATTTTAATGGTGTGCAGCATGCCAGTGTGTTTAGTGGTTTGAATGTTGGACTGTGACTCTGGAGAACAGGGTTCAAATCCCTGCGCAGTCATGGAAACCCACTGGCTGGCCATGGGCAAGTTACACTCTCTCAGTCTCAGAGGAAAGGCAAAGGTAAACTCCTGAAAAAAATCTTGCCAAGAAATCCCCATTATAGGTTTGCCATAAATTGAAAATTACTTGAAGGAACACAACAACAACAGTGAGTTGAAGCATGACTATATCTGGACCAACCACTGATGTCACCCAGGGCATTTCCAAATCTGGTCAAATCACTCTAGACAAGAGCAAGATAGTAGCATTTGCTTTGCTCTGGTCCTGGACAGGTTGGATGACCTTGAGCAATTCACTTAACTTCTTTGTGTATGGATTTCCCCAAATCTGTAAGCAGTACTTATGTAAAACATTTTGTGTCCACTATTGAAAGTACCTTATGTGAAAAGAATACAAAATGCTCATGTTAAAACAGTTTTTGTGTAAAACCTAAAATAAAAGATACCTAACACCTTGCACACTGAAGAAGAAAACAGATAAGTCTGCTCTGACTAATACCATCTAACATATGGTGTGCAGCAGAAGTGATCAATCATTCCAATAACTGAACTACTCTAGGCAGCTGAAGCTGTCAGAGCAAAGAAGCAGATGACTGCTTCCTAGGTATCATTAAACCTTTTAAGACAGGTCATTTCTTCCTGCATATGTATGTAATAGACAATAAGTGGTACCAAGGAAGTAAACTTTTTTTTAAAAAAGCAGATATGTCTGTCCATCAGGATAACCTTAATAGGCAATGAAATCAAGAAATGCATATTTCTTAGTGGC